GAAGATGTAGAGGACCTTGCTCCCTCCTGGGGAGCTCTGTGAGCATGAATGTGTGTCTGTTTGCCAGTGTGTGTGTATGTGTAAGAGTGGGTACATGCATGAGTGTATGAGACTGTATGTGAGTGTGTGCATGCATGAGTGTGTTTGCAAGCATGTATAGGCACTCCCAGGAAACACCAAAAACTCAGGGTTCTGTGCTATTCTTGAAGGAGTTCTGTAGATTTGGAAAGCATGAATGAATGAGTGAATGGTTGTGATATGAGCAGAAGAGCCCTGACTGGGAGAGGGTGGAGGGCCCCCTCCTCCTCCCGCTGGTCAGGAGCTTGCCCTGCACCTGCTCCTGGGCCCCCTTGGGAAACTCGAATTAGTCCTAGAGCCTCAGAATGTCCGAGCTGTTTGACTTGAAAGCTTTGTCTAAGCATCTAAAGAACTGAATAAGTTGACTCAAGTAAACAGAGGACAGGAACAGTGGTTATTAATAAATCATAACAATGATTATTTTCCTTTCAAGACACTCAATCGGCCTTATAAGAAGTTGTATCCCTGTGATTGATCAACTGGGGAAAAGCCTGGGCTGGTTTGGGAGCCTAAGTACCATCTGCCAGCAGTGCCTCCCTGCTGAACTGAGGCAGCTGGGAGCTGGTTCTTCCTCTCCTCTGAGGGAGCCTGGGGCAGGGCAGGCAGGGATGCCAGCATCTGCTCAAACAGAAACCGGTGCAGCCTCCTGCCTCAGGCCAGACCCGGCCCCATTGCCCCAGGAAACAACCGCAACCCCCACCCCATTGCCTGCCTCCTCCACACCTGCAGCCTTCAGGAGGGTAGTTCCCAGGGCCTGGGGATCAGGGCAGTAAACATTGCTACACTGTCTGGCCACATTGAGGGAACAGCAGATCACTCACACTGCAGTCATTTCTTTCTTGCTGGGCACCTCCTGTCCACCAGGCTCAGTATCCAGCATACTACCCTCCAAGAGCTCAGCCTCCCTGGGTAGACATGCCTCTGCAGACATGGCCCAGTGCTCAGCTGAGGACTCTCCAGTATTCCTCAGTGTTGGGGTGCACTGATGAGTCACTGTATTTTTTTTTTGAGCTCCTGCATGTGCTGGCCCTGTCCAGATGCTATAGGGGGTGTGGAAGGAAGGGCAGGTATATTCTGGGTCCTACCAATGCTATGATCCTGTCAAATGAGACCATTTCAGGTCTTGTTGTAATAGAAGACAACAAACAGAACCAAAGATGTAGCATTAGAACATTCTGTAAAGCCAGATTCCTCACTAAAGGCCCCAGAGAGTCTTTAGAAAGGTGGAATATTCTACACAGCCCTTGCAGATTCCCCAAGAAGAGGAAGAGGAGAATATACAAATAGACAGAGGAGACCTGAAACAACCCACCTCTTCCAGAGATTCTTCACCCACAGGGGCCCTGCTTCTGTCCAGGCTCATGTTAGAAATCTCAGTTAAAAAGCAAAAGCCTAGGCACTGCTGACTTCATTTTACCATTGACTCTCAACCCATTAAAGGAATTTTAGAGATGAAGAAATTGAGACCTAGAGAAGAGAACTCAATAACTACGGGTCACACCTGTACTCTCCCTCACCTCAGTCCTCTGTCAGACTCCACAGGAATCCTCAGGTTGTGGAACCCTAGTGCCCGAGCCCCTAGTGCCACAGACAGCTCTGGGCCCTGAAATGAAATCAGTAAGTGTCTGCTGAATCCAGCCCTGCTCCAGCCCCTGCATAGCCTGATATGGAAGGAGTGATGGAGGGGCAGGTACAGCCCTAGGAGCAGAGGGATCCTTCCCGATGCTGTCGGGTTCTGTTGGACACAACCCCCGCCTACCTGCCAGCAGCTCCACCCAAGCGCTTCTTCCTACAGAACAGCTGAGGTGGAGAGCAGGGCTCACCCCAGATGTGGTGCCATGGGCACCTGGAAACAGAAAGGCAGATTTTCTAGCATTGCAGAAACTTCTAGAGAATTTGTAAGACTCATTCAAGAGGAGAAAGGGGTCCAAATGACCAGAAGACCTATAAGGCCCCTAGCTGCCCCCCCCACCACTCCCAGTCAGCAGTTCCCACCAGGGGCAATCAGTTTAGTGGGCAAAGGGAGAGGGCAGAAACATTACACAGGGAGTGGGAGCCTATGCAAAAACATCCCCTTGGTAAGTAACCCAACAACAGGGTGAGCTATAACAGTAACTAAGTGTCATTTTATACCTACTAAATTATGGAGTAGGAATATTCCAATTATGATATTCCATATGGATGACTATGAAGGAACTGGTACATCAGTATAATTTTGTGTTGTAATATATCCACATACCATTTTTAGAAGGAAGGGAAGGGTATAATGGCACCTAACCAGCTAAATGCCTTAGAAAAGTCCATGCCTTCTGCCCTGTGAGTCTGCTCTGGGAACCCATCTCCAGAGAACAGTTCCACATGGAGACAACCACTGCACCATTTCCATTAGTAGGATCCTCACTGCCACGGTAACCAGTTCCTGGACACCACGTCCATGCCAAACACTCTGCCAGATGTGGCCATGTCTCCTCCTCCAGCTCGCTCTGCAGGGTCAGGTATCATCATCCCACATGCACCCAGCTTGTTCATCAGCAGACTGAGGCACAGACTGCTTCACAGAGCTGGCCACAATCCTGTATTTCTTCAACTGAACCCCACTGTCTCTTTAATTAAATAACTAACATTGGAAGAATTCCAAATACCCAGCAACAAGGGAATCTTTAGGTAACTCATAGGGATAGTAAACAGCCACAGAAATAGGGAGGGAAGCAGACTTTAATCTAGGACACATCGGTAAGTATGGGGACCAGGACCCACAGGAGGTAGGGAACAAAGGGAGAGGGCAGCCAGTAAGTCTAAGAGCAAGTGAAGCTCAACCCTTGGTGCATGCAGGGTTTAAGACATGGGCTGCTTTCCTGGAAGGGGGAGCCAAGCCATGCCTTTTGACTCCTCTGGTTTGCCTTCCCTTTAGTCTCTGAGAAGGACTGTCTGTCCTCAGGGATCAACAGTCCCCCTTCTGTGCATTGGGGGTGAGCCTAGAAACAGCCTGCTTGCTCTCTGGGCAATAGCACAGCCAAGACAAGGCTAGAACATTCCGCAAGGACCTCACCACAGCCAAGAGATGGCAACGGGGCATCAAGGTGGAGACGGTGGGGACAGACACAGTCTGAGCTACCACAGCTGTGCGGGGTAACAGGATGATGTCTCTCCTTACTCTCCCTGCTGTCATTGAGCTGATCCTTCTAGAACAGGGCTCAAGGGATGGCCTCGTAATTTTTGGCTCATGTAAAAGTGGTCGATTGAGGATCGTATCCCAGGCCATATGTCACTCGAGGCAAAGCAGGGGCCACCAAACTATACAGTCTCCTCAGAGAGCAGCTGAGTGTCATGGCACATTTAATACCATGATAAGACACAGACACATCTACTCATTAGGGTGAGCCTAAGTAGCCTGTAATGTTGGACAACCATGACTTACATCCATTCCCTGAGCAGCACATGGTGAGGGCCACACATGTAGACCTGGGTAAGGCACCATGTCCTCCCCTCCATGCGCCTCAGTCTGGTGGGGCAGAAAGGCAGCCACACAGATAATTTGCCGTCTATGGGCCATGTGTCCTGATAGGGGAGGGAATGACTCTCTGGAGGAGATTCAGAAGGAAGGTTCTGTAGAAGAAGTATCTGAGTTGTATCTCAAAGGATACATGGGAGCTCACCAAGAATCCAAAGCCAGGATGAGTGTGAAAGGGATTGAAGAAAGGTCCAGGCTAGTGGGACAGCATGGGCAGAGGATAGGCCAGGCTTAGGAAACTGTGGTCAACAGTATAGTGGGAGGAGCCTACACACATGCACACACACACACACACACACACACACACACACACATAGAATCACAGGTACGAACATGCTTTCCAATCAGAAGTTAGGATCCGTGGTCTAAGAATTATAAGTGTGATGACATTTAGAAGAACTGTTCTTCATAAGTCCAGGATGACCACTCCTGGTGACCACTGCAATACGCTTGATACTGACCAGAGAGGGAAACAGAGGAGAGAGGGGGACGTGATGGGATAAAGGTCCCATAAGGGACAAGTCATCACTGTGAAGGGCAGTACCAGCAATGGCAGAGGGCCAGTCAGATGCATGCCGTACTCCTTTAACTAAAATGTGAGCAGGACACCTGGGTGGCTCAGTTTGTTAAGCGTTCAACTCTTGATCTCAGCTCAGGTCTTGATCTCAGGGCTGTGAGTTCAAGCCCCACATTGGGCCCCACACTGTGTGTCAAGTGGGGAGCAGAGGAAGCCTGTGGGGCAAAAGGGCTTGTGGGCACTCTGAAACTCTGAGGTAGGAGAGATGGCCCCTTTGCCCACAAGGGAGCCACTAACAAGTTACAGCAAACAGCTGAATCAGAGGCCCCACTGTCTAGACACAGTGTACCAAGATGATCCCAGCAGAGCAAAGGGTAGCTTTGGAGGTTCTGGGCAATGGTATTCAAGTCTAATGCCTCCAGAGAAGGGTGCCATGCAGAAACCAGGGAGGGGGTCTGAAGGGGCCAGCTCCCTCAGGGCCTAAAGTGACAGAAACTCTGGAGGAATGTGAGCTCCAGGAGGACCCAGATTTTTATCTGTTCCTTATTTATTTCATTGCTTTATCTCTAGTACCTAGAATAATGCTGATTGGGGTGGGTGGGTGGGTGGATGGATAGATGGATTTGTGGATAGATGCATACATAGACAGGGCAGAGACTAACTAGGCCTGCAGGCTGTGCGCCTATCCCGAGCGGATAACCCTGGGCTGCTGCTGCTGAGGTGTTCCAGCCCATGCCCTGTTTAACTGAGCGGGGAGTATGCCAAGCACAGTCATGTCCTGCTGGTTTAGGCTCCCAGGCCCCGGTCACAGGGCAGCCAGGATGCCAGAATGGGGCAAGGACTGACAATGGGCATGCATCCTTTACACTCATTGTGTGTGTCTTTGGCTTCCAGCCCGCTCCAAAAGCCTGGTGATGGGAGAGCAGAGCCGAAGCCCTGGGCGGCTGCCCTGCCCCCACAGGCTGGGCCCTGTGCTGAAGGAGGGCTGGCTGAAGAAGCAGAGAAGCATCATGAAGAACTGGCAGCAGCGCTGGTTCGTGCTGCGTGGGGATCAACTTTTCTACTACAAGGACAAAGATGAGACCAAGCCCCAGGTGAGAAGCACACGCCTTGCATCCTGGGGCATCATGACAGGGTTGAAGGGAGGGCAAACTATGCCCAGGAGAGGGCCGAAGGCAGAGATAGCCTCCTGTCCTCAAGCCCCTGAGCCACTGACTTCAATCACAGTGGCACTTCACCAGGATTTCTGAAGTGGTTTTTGTTCTCAGCCCTCATGTCCCTGGTATCACAATTTGTTTTACAGAAGCACGTCCACAACTTCAGTAATGAAAATGTCTCCATAGAAAGTTGATAGGGAGCATCTCTGCACAGCTTAAGAAAATGAATCTTCCCTGTGTTCTTTCCAGCCTCTTGGAAACATTCCAGTTACTTCCAATGTCCAAGGACATGGATACCAAAGACAAATCTCACCTCAAACTGAAACATGGCTCACTGTGGAGCCCCTGTGTCCAATGCTTCTGCCTTTCAGTGGCTACCTCTGTTTTCTACCAGTCCTAGAAGATCCACCCGGTCTGGGGTCCCACTGCGTGGAGCTGGGGCCTGAGGGCAGAAAGGGTGCTCAGTGATGGACAAGTTGGAGGAAGGACCTGGGCATAGCACAGGATCATATGGACATCACAGTAGGAAGATAGATGACCTCCCCACCCCGCTTTCAGTTTTTCTGAGTATATCAAGGGGAAGCATCAGTTGTGTGCTAGCATATGTTTAGCCATCTCCAGCATTTGGGATCTTCCCTTAAAAAATGGAGATGGGGGTGGAAAGGAGCAGGCCTCAGGTCAGAGCTTCCAGTGACAATAGTGGCGTAGCGGCGTAATGTTCTGTCTTCCGTGTATTATTCTAATGGTTAACTTCTGTTTGTGAAAAGTCTCCATTGAACAGTGATATCACCTTTTCCCTTTTAATATATCTAAGTTAAAATAAAAAAGCATTGGGGTGCCTAGGTAGCTCAGTTGATTAAGCGTCTGGCTCTTGATTTCAACTCAGGTCATGGTCTCAGGGTCAAGAGATCCAGCCTTATGTCAGGATCCATGCTCAGCGAGTAGACTGTGTCAGGATTCTCTCACTCCTTCTGCCCCTCCCCATGCTTGCTCTTCTCTCTCTCTCTCTCTCTCTCTCTCTCTCTCTCTCTCTCATAAATAAATCTTTAAAAAAATCAAAAAGCATTGCACAGCAATGCGAAGGTACTTAGCGCCCCTTAACTATACATTTAAAATGGTTAAAACAGTAAGTTATATATATTTTACCACAATAAAAAATAAATAAATAGAAGTGTGGGACTGTTTAAGGAAAACTTTTCCATAAATTCTAGCACAGAGGAGAGGTGGGTAGGACACACATCATGAAGGTGGAGCTGAACTAAAGCTTAGGAAACCCTGATCTTGTCCAGCCTCCCTGCTTTCATAAGGAAGGAAAATGACTCCCAGGAAGGTCGAGTGGAACAAATAGAAACTTTGGAGTCAGGCAGATGTGAAATTGATTTGAATTAGGCCTAGCACTCTAGCTTTATGACTTGGGACAGGTCACTTACTTTCTTTTCCCTTTGGTTTTCTCACTGCTAAATGGAGACATCATTCCCTACATCACAGAAATGTGCTAAGGATCAGATTGTAGCACATATACATATCTGATTGCAGATCCTAGCAATGGGTGGGTACCCTCCAGCTTCCTCAGCCCTGCCTTTGCCTTCCTCCCACTTCCCCAGCCCTGCTGCCGCTCCCACTCCCCAGATTATGTACCACACTTCCGGCCTGCCCACCACCATTTTCCTTCTGGCCTTTACTTCTGGTGTTGAAGACAAGCCTTGGCCTTTAAACAATGTCTTAACTTTCCTGACTGACCTGTTAGTGTCACTCTGATGACTGGGAAAGTTGCCAGGGTCCCCACCCTTTTGGGGCCCTGTTTGTGGCCCCTACTGCCATCCCCTCCCGGCCTAGCCCGTGACACCATCTCCTGAGAGAACTGTGTTAGTGCTGGGCAAGCCCAGTGGACAGAAGGGACACACTGAGGTGGCCCAGGCCATGTGTGGACCCCTGCCACAGGCTTCCCCACATGTTCCTCAAGGTGAGGCTGAGGTGGCCCTTGTCCATCAGCTGCAGCTCCATGAGGAAGCTCTGTCTCCTGGATTTCCTAAACCAGACACTCCTTTTCCTCACCTCCATCTTTTCCAGACTTCAGTGGCTTCTGGTGGAAACAGCTAACAAAATGGTGGCATCCACATCCCCAGTCATCAGCCTGGGCATGGGAGGAGCCTGGAGCCCCGTCCTAACTAAACCAGGGCATTCATGCCAGGGAGCCATTGGATCTCTAAAAGGAGCCACTGTCTCCCAATAGATGCCAGCATCAGGCCCAGGGCCCCTGTTTTGGCCTCTTTGGGCCTGGCTAACACTCCCAAGTCCTCTTGGAACAGGATTCCTTCCCATAATTCCTCCCCCCCCCCCACAAAGCCCAGTGGCAGCCCTGTTGCACAGGTTCCTAATCTCAAGGAAACTGTTGGTTAAATTGGATTCATTTAGCTTATACAGTATGATCTCAAACCTGCATGCCTGCTGGCAAAATAGCCCATACATTTCCACTTAATTGCATGAACTACATGTAATGGACTAAGTCTCAATATCTGGTTCCTGGAAAAATGTGCCCTGCTCACTGTTTACAGTGACAGAAGTGCCCAGGCAGTAAACACCCACCTGACAGACAGCCTGCCATCTGTCTAGAAGATGTAATTGTCGCGAGGAAGGACGTCCAGCTACCCTTGATGCTGCCCAGAGCACATCACACATGACGAGGATGACTCTCGGCCCATATTCTTATTCTCTCTCCAACCGCTATCACTTCCCCTATCCCCTTCTCACTAGCGGGAGGGCCAGCAGAGTACATAAGAGCATAGAGATGGGGAAAATTCGATAGAGGCAAAGTACGCATACAAGGCTGGACAGGAGGACTTGGCAAAGAAAGGAGCTTTAGAGCAGAACCTGGAAGTGTGCCCTTGTCCTAACTCCTTTTGCCAGTGCCTGCTTCTGATGATTTCTTCAGAAGACAGACCCTATGGTTGCACTAATAGAAGATTCCAGGTTTTTGCATCTTAGTGGTTTTAGCTGCTGCTGGAAATGTTTCCTGGGCCATAAAACCTGTTGCTGAATTCTTTGTTGAGCAGGCTGATGCATTCCCATGGTTCGAGGACTCACTTTTAGTCTAATGATTCGACATCCAGATCCTTCACTTGTGGGTCTCTTGACTTTGAATAGAAATGGAACAGCATAGAAGTGGAAAGTAGAACTTCCAAAACATAAAGATGGAAAAAGTGTAACAAATGTGATCAGTTCAACAAATGCATGGAAAATGGGAGGGACAAAAACAAGAGGGAAGAGTGAATAGAAAAGATAAAATAAGCAAATAGGATGACAAGGAATACGTACAAACATTGCAGTCATCATAACAAATGTGATTAGGTCAGATTCACCTGAATCTTTAGAGACAGTGGAAGATTGGCTTTAAAAAGAACAAAAAACAGAAAAGATTGAAAAACAAAACAATGGAGAAAAGATAAGTCAGCGAATGCAAGCAAAAGGCGAGCAGATTTAGCAACATCAAAATAAAAAAATATAATAGAATCCAAGGTAATAAAAAGGAACAAAGAGAAATATTTCATAATAATATAACTAGCATACTGAGAAAATAGAGCAGCTGTGAACATCTATGCTCTTAGTGACATAGCTTTGAAGGATACATAAAGAAAAACAATACTCATTTTTCTCCATTTTTTTCAAAAAGTGAAATTATGGAGACGTAGTTGCTGACTATAGTGCAAAAAAAGACTTATAAATTAGGAACAAAATGACAGTGAGTGAGGGTGTGTGTGCAAGACAGAGAAGTTCTATACACAAGGAAATAAAATATATACTTCATGGGATGCCTGGGCAGCTCAGTACGTTAAGCATCTAACTCTTGATTTTGGCTCGAGTCTTGATCTCAGGGTCATGAGATCGAGCCCTGAGGCAGGCTCTATGCTCAGTGGGGATTTTGCTTGAGACTCTCTCTCCCTCTCTCTCTATCCCTCACCGCCCACTATTCACAAGTTCTCATTTTCTCTCTCTCAAATAAATTTAAAATACACACACACTTCATAATACCTCCTAAATTAATAAAGAATTCAAAAACTAAAGGCAAACTTCTAGTTAAAGATGACAGATTTAAAAACCCTACAACTCCAGTAAACAGAACTGCTTTTGAAGGTGTGAACACACCTAGGTGGAAGGGACAGAAGACAGCTGCCACCGCAGCATGCTGGATGCAAGAAAACAGATGGGCAAGAGGTAGCTGACTCAGCTGATCCCAGAGAGCTCAATCCCAAGTGAGCACTAGGAGAGCACAAAAATCTGGTTTACAAAGCAGCTCCCCCTCACCTCCCACCAAAGATTCAGGAATTGGCAAGACCAGTTATCTCTGGAAACAAGGGCAAAACAGGAGCGCAGAACAGAGCTGGTGGAAGGTCAGCTTAAAAAGCAACTGGGCCGCAGATATGAACAACCGCATGTGAAGCCTGACTGCTCTTCCTCCCTGTGGTGTAACACTGGGATTCCCCAGGAAGGCTGGGAGAGAGGCACTCCAGGCTGAGAACACCTGGCCCCCTGCTGGAGGAAGCCCTGCCCAGAACAGGAGAGTGAGACAGAAGGGGATGGGCTCCAGGTACTCAGGCCTCCCCATCTCCATCCCACTTGTGGCTCCAGCAGTCAGGAAGAGCCCTCAGGAAGGAAATGAAGAACTTTCACTGAAGAATCTAACAGGCCAAGAAGAAAAAAAGCAAAATATACTGACAGCAGGGCTTCTCAAGTGAAGCAGCCCCAGCCCATCTCTGCTGGCCTGTCATGTAGACGCTGCCCCTCAAACAGCTTCCAGTCTACTCTTTACAGAACCCTTCCTAAATAGGGATAAATAGCTTTGGGTCACTACACATTTAAGGAAAGAATCTCATGTGAAGGACACATGCAAACACAGGAAGAAAGAAAAAAGTTAGAGGCAACAGAAACCATGCAGGAGA